GAACTCGTGCATTCTGGTCTCTCGCCAAGGCTGTCCAGGGGAATTTCTGTCAGCCATCTCTTCCATCTCTTTGCACAGGGAGGACGACTCACTGGCCCATACCGCAAAGGAGAAAGCCGATCTTCTGGGCTCTTTCTTTGCGTCCAACTCGACTCTCGATGACGGGGGGAGTACGCCGCCGACCAACCCGCGGTGTGAGTGCTCCATGCCGGAAGTGCAGTTCACACAGCGCTCGGTTCCCAAAGCACTCCTCTCCCTGGACATCCACAAGTCGAGTGGGCCTGACGGAATCCCCCCAATTGTGCCGAGGACGTGTGCTCCAGAGTTGGCACCGGTTTTAACGCGTCTTTTCCGGTGCTCCTACTCCCTAGGCGTAGTCCCAAAATCATGGAAGACGGCTTTCGTCCACCCGATCCCTAAAAAAGGTGACCGCTCAGACCCGTCGTCCAACTACCGGCCTATCGCCATCACCTCCTTGTTCTCCAAAACAATGGAGTCCATTGTAAACTGCCAGCTCATGAGGTACCTTGAGGATCACCAGCTGATTAGTGACTGCCAATACGGTTTTCGCCGTGGTCGTTCAGCTAGTGATCTTCTGGTCTACCTAACTCACAGATGGGCGGAGGCAGTAGAGTCCAAGGGGGGAGGCATTGGCCGTTAGTTTGGACATTGCGAAGGCCTTCGATCGGGTTTGGCACAAAGCGCTTCTTTCGAAGCTCCCTTCCTATGGGCTTCCCGAGAAATTGTGCGATTGGATCACCAGCTTTCTTGCAGATAGGAGCATCAAGGTCGTTGTAGACGGTGCAAGCTGCGATTGCAAGCCTATTAATGATGGTGTTCCACAAGGCTATATCTATCGCCAACGCTGTTTCTTCTACATATCAATGATATGTTGCAAACCCGTAACATTCATTGCTATGCAGATGACAGCACTGGTGATGCTCTGTATACCGGCCGAACCAATATTTCTCGGGAAAACGTCTCCGAGTGCCGGGACAAACTTGTGTCTGAAATCGAGTCCTTGCTGAACAGAGTCTCGGATTGGGGGCGACTAAATCTAGTCCAATTTAACCCCTAGAAGACACAAGTTTGCGCGTTAACCGCTAAAAAGAACCCCTTTGTCGTATCTCCTCAGTTTCAAGGCACTCCTCTTGTTGCCTCAGCCAGTATCGGAATCCTCGGCGTTGACATATCGAGTGACGTGCAGTTTCGTGGTCACTTGGAAGAGAAGGCCAAATTGGCCTCTAAAAAGCTTGGCGTGCTCAGCAGAGCGGGACAGTATTTCATGCCGGCACACCGCCTGCAACTTTACAAGGCGCAGGTTCGGCCGCACATGGAATACTGTTCTATCTCTGGGCTGGGACTCCCCAGTACCAGCTCCTTCCACTTGATCGCATCCAGCGCAGAGCGACTTGAATCGTCGACGACCGAGTGCTTTCCGATCGGCTCGATCCACTGGCACTGCGAAGAGATGTTGCATCTCTTTGCATTTTATTTCGCATATACCATGGAGAGTGCTCTGAGGAATTGTTCGGATTAATCCCAGCCGCCAAATTTCGTGAACGCACTACGCGGCAAACGTCCCAATACCATCCACACCATCTGGATGCTTGGCGGTCCACCACAGTACATTTCAAAAGGAGTTTTCTTCCGCGTACAACCTCTCTGTGGAATAGTTTACCACCGGCGATTTTTCCGGACCGATACGACCAGGGGACCTTCAAGAAAAGAGCTTACTCCTTTCTAAAGGGCCGGCAACGCACCTGCAATTCCCCTGGTGTTGCGGTTGATCATGGGCGGCGGTAGTCACTTAACATCAGGTGAGCCGCATGCTCGTTTGCCCCCTCACTGTCACGGAGTATATCACAGACGATTTAACCTCGTGTTTCAACTTAGAACAACACGGAATTTAATTCTCAAATGATATATATATATATATATATATATATATATATATATATATATATATATATATATCATTTGAGAATTAAATAATTAACATATAATTAATTCTCAAATAATGTAACATGTGAACGAAGTAGCAGCCTATGGAATTTTTCTTTTTACAAAAAATAAGAAGAAAATTTTTGAATTAAACGTTTGAAAAATTTTTTTGAAGAATTACTTTGCCCTTTGTTCTTGAGCCTGTGACCCTGCGAAGTGACAAGGTCAAAGTTTCCTACAATTTTTTGTTTTATGGCCGTTTGTAAGGTAGGGTGAATGTGATTTGAATTTCGATAGATTTTTAAGAATTTATTTATTTAATACAAAATTATTGTTTTTATTTTTTGTAAAATATCAGTGCCCTAGGCTTCTACTCCGTTAACATGTTACACACCCTATTTTTTTGCAGCAAACGGTAAAAAAGTTCACCAATATTTATAATCTATTATTTTAATAAACATATTGACATAATGACAGAAATGTCGTAGCCTACTAGTTTTATATTTGATAATTATTTAGACGTTATAATTTTGGCATCAAATCCATAACACAACTAAATAACAAACAGAAGACTAAATTTTAAGTGTTTCGCAATGAGCTCAGCGTTTTAAGAAAAATGCACGGACGGGACAGACTGCGCCTCGAGAACTGCCACCGGCGTAAGCATGGCGGCCAGATCTGTAAGCTTCTATACACTTTACGTGAGTACTACGTGCAAATCAAAATCAAAACTCCTCAAAACCTCGGACTTTGTCCTAACATTAACATCTTGCGTGATATGGAGATGTTAGTTACTTCTTAAATCTACAATATTAAAATCCGGTTTCCCAAAATAACTTATAACATATATGGGTAATTAAGAAAAATGTACCTTCATATTTCTATCTATCACAGTTCATAATACCCTCTGCGGAATATAGGCCTTACTCACAGATAGCCCAGCATGGATTGCTTTGGAAGGCGGCGCGGTGATCGCAATTTCCTAATATTTTAAGTTGTTGTCAGGAAGATGCTGCTGCTACCGCGTCATCACCTGGTTCAGTTTCCCACTGTCGCCTCTTACGACGTCCACGGGATATATTCGACACCTAATAGATATTCTTACACCGCTACTTAAATTTAATTGAGTCAATAATAGAACAAAATTTGTTGCTAAAATAGAATGTAAAGAAAAAAGAGCCACGAATTGGCGGAACCCGGCAACCGGTAGCTGACTACCAATGTTAGAGCTAACGAAGCACGATACTTCCATAGGTGAAATGCACTTATAGATTATGTTGCTGGTCAGAAATGACATCAGGGATGCTCAGAATGCCAGCAACAAAATAGAAACAAAAAATGGCTGGATTTGTCAACCAGCAACTATGTGCCAGTACCAGTGTCCATACTACAGTAATAACAGTTGCCGGTTCAATACCAAATACCTTATGCAGTAGTTTTTTTTTCTATTTTGTTGTAAGCCTTCTGAGCATCACCTATTAGAAATGAATTGGATTTGTATTTGAACATGTCGCCTATTAGAAATGTTTTTTTTTTATATGAAAACCGAGTGCTACGACATCGACACTGGAAGTTAACTACCGGTTGCCAGGTCCTTCTAATTATTGGATTTTACTATATTTTTTCACACTTTTTCCACTAACAAATATTGATCTATTATTTGACTCAATTATTATTGATTTCATTTTGTTTACTGCTGGTTTGATCAAAAGACAGCGGTAATTTCTTTTTAGTAGGACCAATTTGAGCCACAAAATCGGCAGCAGCTATTAAGATTCCCATTCTCGGGCAATTTTTATTGAATTCTGCTAACTTTTCATTGCTAGCTTGACGGAAAGCAATGGGTAAATCATTTTGAAGTTGGTTGCAGATGCTCATAGCCAGTTACCATCAGGTGGACTGCTAGCTCCTTTTCCACTTAATTTTCATGAATTTTTCTTAATCTTCGTATATCTTTGACAGCACGGAAACGCAATAATAGGGTTGTTTGCGGCGTCCATGTACAGATATATTTATGTGCCTTTCCGACTCAGGAGAAATAACTATTATAATATACCTATCAGTCTGTTAAAAGTCTACTGCTTAATAAATCTAGACTACATAAACAAAGATTGTCACATATGAGGAATACCTGCCATGATTGCCACGCTTAGCCAGTTGGCCAGTTGGCAATCGCAATTTTCTAATATTTCGAGCTGTTATCAGGAAAATGCCGCTCATTATCCCCTGTTTCATTTCACTCTAACACCTTTCTTACAACATCCACGGAAACTTGAAAAAAAGGACTACATAATTGCTCGCATACATTATTCTATCTTATTTGTTAATAATATATATTTATATATTTTTATAAGTATTTTAAAGATTGTATGCATACCAACGCGGAAACAGCAGAAATTTCAACATAATAATGTCAACGGGCAGTCTCAACGGAGATTAGCCATTGCGTAAGACAGGATTGTATTGGACAAGTGCATACGCAACAAGCCCAAGTGCATTCTCTATTCCCTCACTCTCATGGTCCATTGTGACGGCATTCCGACAAAACCACGGAAAAATCGGGCACTGGACCTACGGCTTTCAGTGTTTTTCGGGGCACGGGGGTGAAATGCCACGAACTTCCTATCCCCGGGCTGCTATGGTATAATATATAATAACAATAATGTCCTCCAGACCGAATTTAGGTCATGGCGGCCTGACTCAACGAAGACTAGCCTTCGGCGCAGGACGAGATTAAATTGCCCAAGTGTATGCACAAGCACAGGTGCACTCTCTATTCCCGTACTCTCATGGTCCGTTGGGATGGTAAACCGACATGACCGGACAGAGATGCTTTCCGAGACACGTGGGTGATACACCGCCAACTTCCTGACTCCGGATAGCTACTGAGAACTTCTTAATGGAAAAACTCAATCACTGATTTTTTTGCCCAACCCGGGATTTGAACCCGGAACCTCATGATTAGCAGTCGCACTACTATAACAACTAGACCAACGAGGCCGATATAAAATATAAATCACTTACAAATATATTTTTAGGATCTGTCCACATTCCAAATGGACGCGATGGTGAAGTGGCTGAGCTGCAACGGCGAGGTTTGGGGGATGGGCCCCACGGCGGTGTTCGCCAGCGCCGCGGCCCTATTCCTTTACAGCGAGCTTCGGGCGACCATCAGCACGGCTGGCGACCGAGCGCAGCTATCGTTGCTCGAGAAGATACTAGTTGTATGTGCTCGTATAATATCCTGACGTGTCCTGTGGTAAGACAATCCACCTTACCCCATTTCTCCCTCTGGGTATCGTAAGTTGATTTAAGGGAGTACCTGGAAGATTTTGGCCGAAGACGGCGGTAGAATGTCATAATTAATTTACTTTTAAAGTCAGTGGTTGGAAGCTGAACGCACCTTAAATGGTCTGCGAAGATATTTTATTTATAGAACAACCTTAAAAACCAACTTCACCATAATTTATATTAGGTATGTCTAAAAGTTGGTGGTCCATGAAAGCTAAAAATTGGTCAAATGGTCCTTTATGACTAAAAGGTTAAGAACCAATGTTTTAAATGATAAGCTTGTATACAAAAATATACAATACGTATGGGTCAAGAGAAAGGTGTGCAAAATAAACTGTTTCTCTTTCTTTTTCTTCTCATTGTCATTACTAGGTGGGAGATCTGTTTTTCTACCTTTACTAGGAGTCCGTCTGGGTAGATATCACTCTCCTGTCTACTTCTGCTGCCAAATTGGAGCGCTTGCAATACTGTGTCCCATTCTGAAGGGTACGAGTATAGAGTTAATATAATTAGATGCTGCGAGGCATTCCCATCTTGGTACTCGGTGGTGACTACGCATCTGACGCCTTCTTTGTTTGAAGTTGGCTACAGATATCTGTGGACCGCAGCAACCACTTACCACGAGGTAGACTGCAACTTCGTGTGTCATTTCAGTCTTATAAAAAAAAACTTATTTCAACGCATTAAATGACTACCGCTGAATTAAAGCCTTCTCCAGAGACTGCCAGTGATCCTGAGCATGCTTCTTTCGAGGCTACAATACACTTGCTAGTAAAATACTGTATAAAGCTTCCTTTCAATTTTAATTTACGTTGACGAACCGGCAATAAACAAATCTCCAAATAATTGTCGATACAGCATACATTAATGTAATATGATAAGAAGTTGCGTTTGTTATTGCCAATCCGTCATTTTGCTGACGGATGTCTTGACTTTCAATCTACTGTCGATTTTTTTCATTATCACCATCATTACAGAACTTTACAATTGCTCTCAATTGTTGCTCAACATTTCAAGGAACGTCACAAAGCATCCATCGACTTCCTGCATTACTTACCAGGTCGTCACTCCATTTGGTGGTGGCCGCCTTTCACTTCATCTAACTTGAAAAGTTTTTTAAAGTGAAAACTTCTTTAGAATCGTTGTGATTTGAAACTGGATGAAATAAAAAGAGACAAACATATACTTATAGGATTTAGCCTGCGAAAGAATGAGATAAAATACAGTATACAATGTTTCCTACTATGTGTGGAAATTATGTATGTGATCTATGAGTACGTATTAAGAACGAAATTTGTTGATTAGAAAATATTTAAGTACTAGCGATGATGAAATTTAAAACCAGTAGTCTACGTATTATGTAACGTAATGTATGTAGAATAATATTCAAAATAATTTTTAAACTTAGTACCAATATTATAATTAATAAACCCTACAATTATTCTACTCCTGGTACTCTGCATCCGTGTCATCCTCTCGAAGTTTTCTGAAGGTTTCACTTCTACCGCGTCTAAACTGCACACATTTTTTTTAACCTATTTACGGTCAGATGTAAGAATATCAAATAACTATAAATTTAAAGTTCCCTTGCATAGCTCTTGTGCATTTATCAAAAAACGGGCTTCTTTGTCATTACAATATATTGCATGTTGCAGTCGACGATGGTGGTGGGAATGCTAGCACTGATGGTACATCTGTGGGTGTGTTCCATGCGGTTTTTCCTGTACTATTTGGACACTTTAATTAGAGATGTAAGTATGGGTTCATGAAGTATTTTTTTAATAATACAGTGAATGATTAACGTTGCCTTGATGATCTAGTGATCTTAAGCACGATCATGTATTCCCCGGTCAAGGCAAAAATTAGTTATTAGGTTTTGCTGTCGAGAAATTCAGTCCTGACCGGATTCAGAAAAATAGATATGTTCACCCTCGTACCTAAAAGAAGCAAGTAGGAAAGCATGTTGGAAACTTTTTGAGCTTAATATTAAAACCTTTTCATTCGTCAATATACTAGCATGAATTGCGTTAAGACTTACGGGCAAGCCATCGTTCAACATTATTTTGCGCCCACGTTTGCGACCTACTTTCGGGGCGCATGTTTAACTAGTTATAATTTTATTATATTTAACTTCAAATCAGTACGTCAACAACGTCCTTCTAAACACTAACTACTCAAGGAAAGATTTGCCACAATAATCTTGTAACTACTATACTTTTAATAAACCTTTTAAACTTCGGTGATCTTTTCCCTTCAACGTGCTCATCAGGTAACTTCATCTCTACTTCATGAAAGTGTATGGCCCTACAAACCATACAAAGACATTAAGAAGTAAAAACCCTGCCTACCAAGCGCGGCAACTGTGGAAAAAATCCCCCCTATGAAGAAATCGATGGGGGAGGCTGAGGAAAAGTTGAGAATTGAATACGAATTCAACGATTTGATTTCAGAGTCCCAGTGTCCTCCTAGAGATGACCACAGCGGGTCTTTTAGGAGTGCAGACGGAGCTGATGCCTCTGGGTCCACTGACACGCTTCCTCCGTCATCAACAGCCGCAGATTCACATAACAGTCTGTTGGTTCTTGTCACTGTGCTATGCAGACTACATCAGGAAGCATTACTGTCAAAGATTCAATGTGCCGTACTTAGAACAGTGGTTTGTATATAAATACTTGACTAGTGAAGGGTAGGAGATTGCCGGGGTTGAAAATACCGTCTGACTTATTTCTGCCACTAAATTGTATAAAGAGCATAGTTGTTTTCCGGTTCGAAGACTAAGGAGTCACTATTATAACAGAATGTATGGCATGTATATTTTTATAGGATAAGGGTGATAAACGAGCAGACAGTCTACCTGTGTGTGTGTTGTGTGGATGCTGTGGTCCATAGTCATCTACAACTTCCCTCGATTACGAATCAAAATGGTCATCCATGAGGACCTTTTTTTTATAGAAGAGAGGGCAAACGAGCATGCGGCTCACCTGATGTTAAGTGACTACCACCGCCCATGATTAACCGCAACACCAGGGGAATTGCAGGTGCGTTGCCGGCCCTTTAGAAAGGAGTAAGCTCTTTTCTTGAAGGTCCCCAGGTCGTATCGGTCCGGAAAAATCGCCAGTGGTAAACTATTCCACAGGGAGGTTGTACGCGGAAGAAAACCTCCTCTTGAAACGTACAGTGGTGGAACGCCAAGCATCCAGATGGTGTGGATGGTATCGGGACGTTTGCCGCGTAGTGCGTTCACGAAATTTGGCGGCTGGGATTAATCCGAACAATTCCTCAGAGCACTCTCCATGGTATATGCGAAAGAAAATGCAAAGAGATGCAACATCTCTTCGCAGTGCCGCCAAACGCCGCCAAAACCGTTAACCCGCAAACTTGTGTCTTCTGGGGGTTAAACTGGACTAGATTTAGTCGCCCCTAATCCGAGACTCTGTTCAGCAAAGATTCGACTTCAGATACAAGTTTGTCCCGGCACTCGGAGACGTTTTCCCGAGAAATATTGGCTCAGCCGGTGTAAAGAGCATCACCAGTGCTGTCATCTGCATAGCAATGAATGTTACGGGTTTGCAACATATCATTGATATGCAGAAGAAACAGCGTTGGCGATAGCACGCAGCCTTGTGGAACACCAGCGTTAATAGGCTTGCAATCGGAGCTTGCACCGTCTACAACGACCTTGATGGATTTCCTCGTTTCCAATAAAAAGGAACTCTGATTCTCTACACGAAACATAACAACGCTAAGCTGCTATTTACGCTGGTATTCTGTGAGAGCGTGGTTCTCGCCCGGCCGAGTCGACCCATTCGTGCTAAAACTATACTACTATCAAAGTTGCAGCATGGCTCTACCACGTAAAAAGAGGACCTCGTTATGTGTCTTTAACTTGTAACAATCGTATTTTACGGCATGTAAACAAAGTTATAAGCCATGATTTTAAGCCATTGTGAGATTGTTTATTTATAAACACTATTATGCTATTTAGCATTACACACCGTTAATCATTTATTTTACTACATTTTATGCATATATTAGTAAGCTGCAGTGGCAGTGGGCCAGATGCAGTGCAGTAGTAGTATAGCTCAAAGAATCCGACAACCGCTGGGGAATAAAGGTTCTCGAGTGGCAGCCTCATGCCTGTAGGCGAGGTGTAGGGTCTCCCCTAGATGGAGTGCCGACCTGGTAAGACATGCAGGAAATCCATGGATGCTGATGGCTTAGGGCCGTGCTTTGTGGCATTCCTTGGGGAGGCCTATGTTCATCAGTGGACTTGTCAAGGGATGTAATGATGATGATATTTTATGCATAGTATTGTATTAAGAATATATTTATTTTATCTTCTTTATCATTTTTATATAAATATTTGTAGAAGAGAATGCTAAATTTATCACATAGTGGGAATGTGATCGTGACCGATATGAATCCACGGCGGTCAGTGTAAACAGTGTCCAGCCATTTGCACAGAACAGGAATATAGTGCACGTGTGACTCTTTCACTCACTCTCATACTCCGATAAGATGGCAATAAGACATGGTCAGAGAGGGATTAGGCGCAAGCATAAGGAGGTGCAGAGATGAAATGCCACCAACTTCATGATTCCGAGCTGCTACTGAAAATCCCGATAACTAATTCTCGGACTGACCGAAGATTCGAACCCTATTTGAAGTTATATTATATTTAAAAATCAGGCAGGCAGAACTACAAGCACGCGCAGCACGAGGGGTGAACAAGACAATAGAGAAAGTGCAAACTTTCGTAGCGTCCGTTCAGCAACGCCTACGCGGCTACGAGGCGCACCCGCCGTCTAATGACATCGTCGCCCCAACGTAATTATGCATGTTTCGCGTCAAACGTTATTTCTCATTTTATTACATTTTTATTCTTTACAACGTAGACAGATTTTTTTCAGACCAAAATTCACTGATTAAACGATTACCTTTTTGTGAAATTTATATGAATAAACTTATCTACTCTGTTTAAATAAAACTAATACTATCCGTTTAATTTTTACGTCTTTTATTCTTTTCTGGGAGAAACTGGGGTGTTTGACATCCTGAATCCCGATATAATAGCTTTGAATTTTTTTTGATCAAGAAGATTTTTCATTAGTACTGCACGAGCTTATAATATCTTGAAGTTTTGCAGCAGTATGCTTGGGTTAGGAATTAATTCCAATCCGAAGCATGCCTCTGTTAGTCAGATCTCACACACACAGGCCTCCACTTATTTTTTTCAACAATTACATTGACCGTGTTGTGGCAGTGTAAGAATATCCACTGCTGCTGTTGACTAAGCGTGGCAACTATGGCAAGTACCCTCATACGAATCAATTCATGAGAGTTCTATGTTCAGTAGTAGAATTTTAAAAGGCGATGGTTCATAAGCTCTTAATATTATTATAAACAATTACATTACCATATATATATATATATATATATATATATATATATATATATATATATATATATATATATATATATGTATAATCCGCTAATCGTATCTTTAGGCAATCTCTTATTTCCTAGAGTGAGAGCATGCAGTCCAAGAGAGCAGCATCTTCGATGGATCTCAGAACAATGGCGGACCAGCTCACGAGTCAGTCTCGAGTCGAAGGGTGCGGGCGAGCCAGCGACTCTGTTCTTATCTGCAAAAAATCTTACACCGCTCGCACTAATCACCAAACTAAAGACTCAACTGCAGAGGCAATAGAGACACTTCGAAATTTCATGAATGTACGTACATAAACAGGAATTTCAATAATGCATGTAGTGGCGGAGTAAAACTATCCACTATCCCCATGTCATCCCGTGGGTGTCGTAAAAGGTTACAGAGGCAAACAAATGAGGAGATGGGCAGCAGCGTCTTCATTGTGGCACAAAATAACGGTTGCCAATCAAATTGCCAAGCGTGCCAACTGCCAACTGTGGCAAATATAATCCCCATGAGGCAATCTATGGGGGAGGCCTATGTTCAGTTGTGGACTTTAATAGGCTGAAACGGAACGTAAATAAATATAAAATAACTGGGCGACCAAATTTAGCTCGACGTAAGAAAAAAAATAATTATCATAGATACGATACGACTTAGGAAGTTTCCATAAAAGAGCTTACTCCTTTCTAAAAGGCCGGCAACGCATCTGCAATCCCCAGGTGTTGCAGTAGTTCATGAGCGGCGGTAGTCACTTACCATCAGGAATGAAACCTATCTAGATATACTATACAAGTAAAACTTTAAATATAAAATGTCATCTAAATCCTGAGAAACCAATTACACACTCTTCTCTTACGCACATTTGTTTACTTACATTACTTCGCACATAGAAACTGTCACAGGCGCCATTGATACCTACCTCTATATATAAAAATGAATTGGTGTCCGTTAGCCTCGTGAAACTCAAAGATGGCTCGACCGATTTTGATGAATCTTTCGTGTGTGTTTGAATAGTTCCCTGGACGGTTTAAATTCACATTCGAACCCGGTAGGTGGCGCTCTTGTCGATATTCAGAAATCACCCGCGCGATGCCGAACAGAGACATACTTTTAAAGGGATCATTCCTTTTTGTATAGTGAATATTATATAAATATGCTTGCATCAGAAAATAACATAATTTCCACGAACAGGCGAATGGCACAGAACTTATTTATCATGAATTACAAGCAGTTGTAGTTTTGTAGGTTTTTTATATAGAATAAAGTGACAACCGAGCACGCCATCCACCGTTTTTTATAGGATAAGGGTGACAAACGAGCACACAGTCCACCTGATGGTAAGTGGATGATTGGATACCATAAACATCTTCATTTATCCTCGATAATAAAACAAAATGCAGACGTGTTGTCACACTTGAACATTAACATGAATGCCACGTATTCAGTAAAAAATTAGCTAAAGAATTGTGCTCTATAGTGTCAGCATAACAATCCATGGGTATCGAAAGAGGCGGCAGCCATAGAACCACGCTGTAGCTATACTGTAGCGTAAATGGGTCGGCTCGACAGGGGAAGGACCACGCTCTCACTGAATACCAGCGTGAAATAACACCTTAATACTGCTATGTTACGTATGGTGAATGTAGAGATCCAGAGACCCCTTTTTACTGGAAATGAGGCGTTCCATCTTAGTCCTCACGGGTGACAACGCATCTGCGTTTTAATTCTTAATAGAGGATAAATGCAGATGTCTATGCGCCGCAGCATCCACTTACCATGAAGTGGATTCTTTAAAAGGCATTCTATGGGGTAGACCTATTTTTAGCGGCGGTATTTTTTAAAGACTATATTGAATATATGGCGAATGAATTAGTATTACGTTTAATATAGAATAATAATAGTATTATTAAGTAGACTTTATAAAATAAATGACAAAAAACATGGTTTGTATTTCATTTCTAGGCGACCAGATGCTCGTGCAATCCAAAGAACGCGGACATGCTCCCAGTTGTCCAAGACGCTATTATACAAGACGTACAGTCGGAATAATTTTATATTAACAGAAAACATTTCTTTACATACATTTTAAACTGGAATAGTTGTTGTTTGAAAATTAAATCTGTTACATTATTTTATTCGCATTATTTTTTTATTCCTTAGTTACCGACAATGATGTTCTGGTTATTATAACGGCGATAAAATTATTTGAGTTAGTCATTGCTTAAAAATCAAGACTACTTTATGCAATGACAAACTCAAATACACACATTGGGAGGTCTACGCTCGGCAGTGAACTTTCGTAGGCTGTACTGAATTAAGCAGTAAATTAATTTTTAGCCATTACAAAGCTCTTGCACCGACATCGCTATGGTGACAACTTATGTGGCGTGCTAACTCGGTCTGACCAATGTCTCCTGTTTTTTTTGTACAATAAACTAGCACACAGCAAGTTTTCAATTATTGCAAAACACTTGTATGAAAAAAAAAAAAAATAAAGGGGAAAAAAAAAAAAAAAAAAAACAAAGTTATTATAAACGAACATTTTTTAAAGAAAAGGTTGACGATCACGAATTTTTTTATAAAAAAGGTCGACAAACGAGCACAGTTCACCTGATAATAAGTGGATGCTGTGGCTCATATACATCTATATTTATCCTCGATGTTATACCACACCCCTGAGGACTAAGATGGAATACCTCGTTTCCAATCAGCCCAATCGGCTTCAATATCAGATGCTAGCATGAAATATCGCATTCAATATGCAATTTTTACTGGCATTTGAAGTCTGGCATAACTACAAAGAAGCCAGGCCGATTTTTATGTTACTTTACTCCTGACTAAAAAGAATGGAATAAATTTTCTACGATCTCCAACGATCCAGGACGAATATTTAATCAATATGATGTGGCCCAACTTGAGCAGAAAAGGAAGCTTGATATAGACTCTGTTAAGAATAAAATGGCTTTGGAGCTTTACACCACACCTGGACTATCCAAAATTAATAGAAAAAAAATATCTAACTAAAAAATGGGTCCAGAAAGAACCAGAGTAGGACTACTTCTGCACTATATGTTAAGAAAAATATGTTTCGCCTCTACTGGAAGACTGAATCTAGTGCGACACTTGCCAAGAATGGGCCCACGAAGCAAGTTCCTCTTACGTGATTCTACCTTTATGAAGATTGCTTTGACCACATGGTGTTTATTAGTTTCCAATCGTTTTACCCGCTGAAGAAATTCGTTTTGCACGCCCTCAGGCAAAACGGATAATAGCATGATTTAAAGAAAATAAATGTTATTTACATATTGTCTAATGTTTGAGTTTATATTTTGTTTAAGTTTAAATCTTTAATAACTATTATTTCTTATTACAAAATGACTGATTAAAAAAGTGGATTATCTATGCCTTTTTTAATGTCAAACTTAACCTATTCTTATAGCCCGCCCGTCCCCTATAAATTACAGTGCACGTACTTTAATTTCGTTGTCATCTGCAAATTTTCAGCCCCATAAGTCCTTTTTCAAATTGGAAAACAGGAAAAAATCACTATACGAAGGGTGGTTGATCTTTTGCCTCGCAACATGTGCGGTGTGCACGGTCGCTATACGAAGGGTGGTTGATCTTTTGCCTCGCAACATGTGCGGTGTGCACGGTCGCTATACGAAGGGTGGTTGATCTTTTGCCTCGCAACATGTGCGGTGTGCACGGTCGCTATACGAAGGGTGGTTGATCTTTTGCCTCGCAACATTTGCGGTGTGCACGGTACACTAGCCTCGTGACCATGAGTCAATAAACCGGCGTAATATTGGCCTTTCGTTGTAGTTCTCCTAGGTAGGTAGTCGATAAGCAAAATTCCCTCGCCATCTCAGAAAACAGTCACCATTAGCTTGGACGCCGACTTTTCCAGCTTGAATTTTTTCGGCGGCCTTTTACTTTTTTTATCCATTGCATGGACTCTTTTCTAGACTCCGTATCATAGTGGCGAATCCATGTTTCGTCTACGGTAACTATTCGTTGCCAAATGTCTTCTTTGTTATCGCCGACTAGCTCAAAAAAATCTTTGCAACTTGCGAGTCGACGTTCCTTGTTGAGCGGTGTGAGCATTTTCGCTACTTAGCGCGCGCTATTTTTTCTCATATTCAAATGTTCATGTAAAATTTATCTAACTCATTCGTTGCTAATCTGCAGTTCTTCAGTAATCTGCCACAATTAAATTTTTCGGCCGGCCAGTTTTCTTCGGTCAGTACCGTGACAGGGCGGCCCGGACGAGAGTCGTCTTCACAGCTCTCTCGTCCTTGTTGAAATATGCGGGCCCATTTTTTAACCATCGTATATGAAGGCGCAGAATCCTGATAAACCGATGACATCTCTTCAAAAATTTCTCTCAGTGTATTTCCCTTTTTCGAGGAATTTTATCACGGCGCTGTGTTCAAAATTACGAGAATTTCCAGATTAGGCTGGCATGGTGATGTTTGTTGTTCAATAAATAATTATTGAACTATGATTGCAAACTTAATTAGTGATTGTTTTTATAATACTACTAAGTGTTGTAACTAGTGACCTGATAAACAAGCTAATTACTCATCCTTAAGTACCCTAGGCCGCAAGCTTTTCCGCCGGCCTGGTAGCTTGATTCATCAGCCGTTCTATCCATAAGAAGTAAGAAAGTAGTTCAACCGGTACATAGTGATTCGTGGCAGATTAAAATCATCGTGTCGGTTGGCTTAGATATTATACTTTGTTGACGTGAGTGTAGTAAGCGGCGACTGAGAAAAACTAACCAGATGGGCAGGAGTCTTCATGATAGTACCTAACTCGAAAATTGAAAATAAAACTCCGGAAGCCAGCCTTTTCACTTTTCCAAATGGGTCAACTTTAGCAATAAGCGCCAATATCTATGAGGAGACCTATGTTCAATAGTGAACTTTGATAGACTGTGATGATGACGATGAAGACTTTAGTTGAAGATCTTGTCATTATCCATTACGTTATATTACGTGTAACTGTAATCAAAAAGTGTTTCTATTGTAAAGTGCACTCTAACACTATTTCAAATATAAACCTCTTAAATTCTAATACAGGTATCTGTTAAAAAATAGTTACCCAAAAAACTCCAAATATACCTTCTTTTTGATTTCAAGAATGTTATTTTATACAAAAAAAAGTTATGTAATTGTACTGCGAAATTTTCCTAGAAGCCTGACATTATAGGTAAATTTCGCAGTACAAGTAAATAACTTTTTTTAACAAGAAACAACATTCATGAAAACAAAGAGTATATTTGGAGTATATAATCTAATCACTACATAGTGACATTTGACGACTCCTTGGGGCAGTCTAACGATGAGTTGCAGCCACAGTAAATCGTAATAATAAGACAATAGAAGTGGCATAGACGCGTGACCTTGTCGCCGCTATGAAGTGTTGACGAACATCATTCACCATTTTGTGATTTAGTTGCGCGTGGAACGTCGTACCTGAATTTATGTTATTATAATGGTGAACTGCAGCATAATCAGTAGTAAAAACTCATCAAGGATGTGTAATTCAACTAATAAAGACATAACATTTCATCGTTAAAATTATTATTTACTAATTATCATTATTTTAACTAATTTACATCTAGATGAATACTTTACCATGATATTTACCCTTGTAAACTTTCATTTATTACTTTTCATATTGTCCAATTACCATTGCTGCTTTTGTTCTACCGTAATACGCGACACACGCGACGTTGACAAATTCGCCAAGCAATGTAATGTGAAACATTAGATATCATTGTGCATTGCGTATGTTTATAATACGGCTGCAGGCATCGGTCGCTTAATACGTATGTGTTAAAATGTGACGACATCGGTTTTAAGTAATCGAGCGCTAATTAACTTCTTTTGTCTTATTAATAATTCTGTGATTGCAGCGCTGAAGGCCGCAGATTCGTATCTCTCACTGAACTAGTATTTGTATAGTCTACAAATAATTGTTACAGGTCTGGATGTTGGTGCCCTTAAAATAAATGTATGTAATAAACTGCCCCCACGATATAGCAGAAAATCCTAGTGTGGAGGTAGTTTTAAACAAAAATGTCTTTTTGTACGGAATATTTATTCCTTGGACCAAAGAGTATATAATCACTACGATTTATCTTAGACACGTAGTGATTATATATCTATTCTTTGCCTTTTTGCCTCAGACGAAATTCAATCAGTCTGACGTAGTCTGTCAGTTTGTGATGTAAACTCGAAAGTATGTAAACATGCAAATAAAAATTATCTTCCAAATTATGAGATAGTGAAACAATCTATCAGCGTTAGTAATTTGTAATGTGGAAACACTCTTTATGGAACTTCCTGTTGAATGAAGGTTACGAGGTCTGTTGGTAGTTTTGTCGGACTGATATAAAATAGCACGTATACATATATAAGCAAAAAATTAATTAAAGACCAAATGAGTGGTGCGTATAGTCTGGATTCAGGCGATTCACGACCGCGGTGTTGTGAACTCCTGATTAAAGTTCAGCGTTCAGCGGTGGCCAGCATGGTAGCATGACTCGATCATCTGAGTACTTATTAGTAATTGCAATTAAACTTATTCTCAGAGTGGTTATCGATTTTAAAGACTTTAACCCACAGCCGTCCTGGTGTTTTTTTTTATGTAACAAAATAAAACTATAAAAAGTAAGTCGACCTCAAATAACTAAAAAGAAAAAAATTATTTCCACAACAACTTCAGAAGCGGTGCTGATACATAGTGTATTGAAGTATTTAAGGTATTTTTTATCCCTTTGAGAGGACTAAGCGATATCTTTATTTTTATGATATATATTTGACTATTCTGTGGTCGATTAAGGCCGGCCACGTACATACGAGATCCCGAACGCAGCAAGTCCATATAAAATCGATGACCCGTCACACACGTACAGTAGTATTCCGTCCGAAATTTTGCGGGAAATATGGAATTCCGAATGTATGTGACCGGCTTAAAATGTACACTACCGCATATGATCCCGTGGATGTTGTAAGAGGCGACAGAGGGAATCAAACCAAGGGATGTGCAGTACCGTCTTCCTTATGCAACTATACAATAAACTATAAACTACACAAATTACTAATTATACAAATAAATAAACTACGGTTGGCATTTCGCTTGCCAAACGTGACAACTATGGTAAATATTCCTCCCTAAGAGGCAATCTACGTGGGGCCCCATGTTCACTATACTCTATATGGTCTAGGCCCGTGGTCGTCATACTGCGGCCCACGGGCCGCTTGTGGCCCGCGACTATATTTGTACGGCTCGCGACAAAACAAACAGATTTAGGAAATTATATCAAAATATCATCTACTAAACACATCAAGTAAACTAAATAGAAGTACGCGGGTAAGTATAAACTTCTTCCTGCAACTTGCTCTGACTGAGCGTGTTGCGGAAAGGGGAAGTCACGGCAAAGGCGAACGCAACTTCAATTTCATTCATTTGTTTTAACATACTGCGTAGGACACTCGTCAATAAATTAAGCGCGAAGTATTCTTATTTAATAACATTATAATGGCGGGAGTATCATCAAAAAGTGCTACTAACAGGAAGTTAAGTAAAAAAATGGCAAGAAGAATTTTGTTTTATAAGTTCACAATTCATTCACTGAAGCCTTTCCTTTGGAGTCGAGTGAAAGGGAGAACAAAGTAGCTGCTTTGAAATCTGTAATTCGTCGTCAACAAACTATTATGACGACAGCAGTTGGACAAAACGAGGCTGTTACAAAAACATCTTACCAAGTTCGTTACATGCTTGCAGAAAGAATGAAACCTTTCACTGACGCTGAATTAATAAAGGAGCGCATGTTAACTGTTTCTCAGACTTTGTTTCAAATATTTCAAATAATAACCAAATAATGGCGGAAGTAAAAAGCTTACGCTTTCTGAATCAACCTGTTGGCCCCGAGTTGAAGATTTGTTAAAATACATGTTTGAGGCAGTAATTGATAGGTTGAAAAACTGCAAATATAATAGTCTTGCTTGTGATTCTAGTACGGATATATCTTCTATGTCAGTGAGGCACATTCATAGAAGAGGACTTCCTAGCCGTCATAACCATGAAGGGCCATACGAAAGGTTGTGATTTTATGGAAGCTCTGAAAAAATTTGTCGAAAAGTACGGTATACCAGTGAGTAAAATGATATCAGTGTGTATTGATGGTTGTCCATCAATGTTGGTTGCAAATAATGATCTTATTGCCTTAATGAAGAGAGAATTGAATATACCAAATTGGCTGCCCATTCACTGTTTACTGCATCAAGAAACCTTGGTTTGTCAAATTTCGAATAATAAATTGAAGGATGCAATGAGTATTCATTACATTTTCATAAACATAATCAATTTGATTCGCGCGCGTGAAATAAACCATCGAAAATTTAAAGACCTATTTGAGGAATTACAAGCTAATTAAGGTGATGTAGTCCTACACACTGCCATCAAAGGAAAAGTTCTGGAACGGTTCTTTCATTTAAAATTCGAAATAATTCTATTTTTAAAAAAAAGTGGTAAAGAATATCCGCAACTTCTCAACGATGAATGGTGGCACTGACAACTTTTTTGGCTGTTATTATTAGGAAGTTCAATAATCTTAATTTAGAGTTTCACGGGTCTAACAAGATAATCTGACAAATGACGAATAAAATCTTTACATTTTAATTTAATACTTCAATTATATATAAATGAGGTCCAAGCTAATGACTTTTCTAATTTTCCAACCGTTGCGGCTGTGCAATCAGAGGCGTCTATTTCTGATAGTATTTATCAAGATATGGTTTCCTACTTAATGGAATATTTGTCAAAAATTCAAAAAAGATTCAATGATGTGAGAAACATTAAGGACTATTTTATTCTTGTAGAAAACCATTTTTGTGGTTTATTAATATTTGTTTCGTGTTTTTTTTTGTCTGTTCAGCTTTACAGCTCACAAAAAAATATGTCAATTGATTGTTGGTGTCAACTAAACAATCCAAGAATGTGCGGCCCTCTGTGACACCTCACATTGTTCTGTGTGGCCCTTGACCAGATAGGTGTGACGACCACTGGTCTAGGCTGTAATGGATGTAAGGTATATGACAAGCTAAGGGTCATAACCGGAATGTCGTCTTAATAGTTACATTATAAACTTCATACATATTTTGTTACCCTTAGGGATGTAGAATAAACTATTTATTTAAAAAAAACATTGATCAAATGACAAAAATACTAGCTGCTAAAATGCAGCTATATTAGTAGTATAGCACAAATGGGTCGGTCGGCCAAGGACCACGCTCTCACAGAATACCAGCTTAACGCTGCTGTTTCATATGGTGTGTAGAGTGTAGAGAATCGGACACCCTTTTAACTGGAAAGAAGGCATTCTATCTCAGTACTCACGGGTGACAACGCATCTGTATTTTGATTCACAAACGATTGTCACCCATCTCCTATAAAAAAACAGTCGAATAACGGTTAGTAAGAGCGGTGTCATACTGCCATCTATCCAGGTAACGCCTGTTTATGAAATTTTTATGAAATGTTCTTTAGTCTCCTGTAACCCACACAAGACGAGATTGCTACGCAACTGATCCCAGCTTTATTTGAGCATCCTAAAACGGGATTCATTATTTGCAGATCATAGAGTGGGCGAAATGCGGAGACGGTTATCTGTCGACAATACCCACGCTGCTGTGGACCTTTGGCGCCTCGGCATTCGCGCACCGTCTGATCACTTGCATGTTTCGCCGGTTTATGTTTAGAAGAGTGACGCTATGGGAACAGATTGTCCAAGTACGTATAAATTATTATCAATAAAACAAATTTAGTTCAAACGGAGAACCTGTCGATGTAGAAGACTTTGCCTAGACTTCAAAACTCTTTTAAACCTAGAACCTTTATAGATTTTGATGAAATAAAGACATTCCATGTACCGTTTTGTTGTCCAGCTTGTAAACAACCGCTGCATAAATCTGATGTCTGAAGTCACCTGTTTTAAGATTCGCGGGAGAGAGTGAGGCAGATATATGTTTTTACATTACTTAACTTAAACTATTAAACTTTAATGGAATGAAACTTGGAAATTTATCACGCTGAGCAACCGGCGGCTTGACCAGCGCATAGCTGATACTCCTCGCACTGGTAATGATGACTCCACGACAATAGACTGTCTCAGCAGCTTAGTTCAGTGTTCGATGAATTTTCTTTCATTCGCCAAAGCCTTATTCATCAGTTGAGATGATGCGGCGCGTGCAATTGTGACGGCATTTGGAAAATATTTTTTTATAATTTATAAAACTGGCGTAATTGAAAACGGCGACTGCAGTTCACACCCACACGCATCTAAACAGAGAAAACTACAGCTGCGTTGTCATCTCAGAAAACGAAGATGCATTGATATTTCTTACATGGTTGAGCCGCGCTGCAGCTATATTACGGTTGTAGCACATATGGGTCGGTTCAGCCGGAGATGGACCACGCTCTTACAGAATATGAGCGTAAAATATCAGCTTAATACTGTTGTGTTTCGTATGGTGAGTGTAGTGATCCGAAGACCTTTTTTTACTGGAAACTAGGTATTCCATCTTAGTCCTCAGGGGTGACAACGCATCTGCGTTTTGATTCTTAATCGAGGATAAATGTAAATTTCTATGGGCCACAGCATCTACATATCATCAGGTGGACTGTGTGCTCGTTTGTCACCCTTATTCTATAAAAAAATATACTAGCTATAAAGAATATAGATAACCAATATACTAACAACCAGTAATTATACTGGCGCTCTGAGGATCCACTCCATCTCAGTCCTCAGAGTTGACAATACGTCTGTAGCATCGTTTGTTTGAAGTTGTTTGCAGGTCGTCATGGACTGCAGTAGTCACTTCCATCCATCATGTATGTGGTAGAACCATGTTGCAGCTATATACTGGTTGTGGCACGAATTGGGTTGGCTCGACCGGGGTAGCACCACGCTCTCAATAATACCAGCGTAAAATAGCACCTCAATGCTGCTGCGTTTCGTGTGGTGAGTGTAGAGAACCGGAGACCCTTTTTACTGGAATCGAGGCATTCCATCTGTCCTCAGGGTGACAACGCGTCTGCATTTTGATTCTTATTTAATATATACTGTACGTAGAAGTCTACTCTCAGATGGACTATACCCTTTTTACTGGAAACGAGGCATTCCATCTCAGTCCTCAGGGTGACAACGCGTCTGCATTTTGATACTATACGTAAATGTCTACTCTCAGTTGGACTATGCCTTCGTTTGTCATTCTTAGTCTATATTTTAAAAAGGTAGACTGTTAGTTCGTTGATCCCTTCACGTGTATAAAGGAGTTTTAATAATGCGTCATTTAATTGATACTTTTACGTTGGTCCCTAGAACTTCCTATTCATCTGGATGGTGATGTACAGCCTCCAGTTCTGGAAAGTCTTAGTGAGCCTTGTAAAGGAATTAGTCGAGTACTACGACGATGTAAGACCAAGCTTAATATTTTGTATATTAGTAATTTAATTAAAGAGACTACTCGCTGATTAATTAGCAAATAATGTCCTCCAGACCGAATTTTACCATTTGCGACCAGTCTCAAGGGAGGCTAGACATCTACAGGACGGAAATCCAACACGACCGGAGAGAAATCTGACGCAGCACCAACGGCTCTACGCCTACTTTATTTTACAGATAAAATTTAAAATACAGTCTAGATCACTGCTGGCGTTGCCTTCTATCTGTTCGTCAGACACTTTGATTTTATTTATACGTATAGATATTGACATTGAAATAAGAAGTAAATTGTTTATTCCATCATTCATTGATTTGACTGGCTCCACGTTATCCACACTAGAACACTTATTAATGACGTAACACATTCTTCGGTTCTTTGTGAGGCATGGGACTCGAAGCGCACAACGGAATAAATAAAGCCTAAAAAATTATAAGGACACCATCATCATCATCATCATTACAGCCCTTCACAAGATCACTGCTGAACATAGGCCTCCCCCAAGTAATGCCACAAAGCACTGTCCTCAGCCACCTGCATCCATCGACTTCCTGCATGTCTTACTAGGTCGTCACTCCATCTAGTGGGGGTCGCCCTACACTACGCCTACCGGTACGAGGCTGCCACTCGAGAACCTTTCTATAAGGACACCGAAACAATTTATTTTCAAAATAGGTAACAACCTACCTACAACAGCAATACCTATAGATGAGGGAATTTTTTTTTCTTTTAATAGACAGTTAACAAATCAACTAAAATTTATTGGAATACCATATAAGCCTATCATATAAGAAACCTACTACAATTTGTAGACAAAGAATTGAGCCTCGTGTCGTGTACAGTATCCCGCACCGTCTCTCAGAATGCCTAGTCATTAAACTTACTTTAAAATTTAATACTTTGGCTTTGGCTAGAAAAGAACACTGCATGGCTCGGCCATCCATATAGAGCGCCGATACTTATTTTTAAAAAAGAACTTTACATTTCCAAAAACTATCCTTTCCTAAGCACGTTATTTACGTTGTAGAGCCAAGCAAATGGAGCAGCTATATTAATAGTTGTTGCACGAATGGAGCGACTCGACCAGAGAAGGACCACACTCTCACATAATACCAGCATAAATTAGTGCTATGCTGCTGTGTTTCGTATGGTGAGTGTAGAGATTCAGAGGATATTTTTCTATAACGAGGCATTTCATCTTAGTTCTCAAGGGTAACAACGCATCTACATTTTGATTCTTAATCGATAATTAGATGTAAATGTTAATGGACCAATTATAGAATGTCTACGGCCCCACAGCATCCAGTTACCATCAGGTGAACTGTGTGCTTATTTGTCACCTTTTTTCTATAAAAAATACCACGATAGTTAATTTTCATTGTTAAATCAGTTTATGTGGAAAAAATATATTTTACAGGGCGCCACAATATTGGACGAGAAGAACTTGGCTAACCAAACTTCAGTGGAACAATGGCTAATCTGGCTGTGCGGAGCTGCACCTCTGGCGATATACATATACACGAAGCCGCGACCTTCCTCGCCGCCCATTATGATATGGTGATTGCTTGAAATTTAGTTTTATCTAGGGTTCAGCTTAGAAACAAACTACTGGGCGTGCTATCACTCGTGTATGAAAGACGTAGACTTATTAAACTACTGCGTATGGACCGTGTCATTGGACAAACGAAATGGCACTGACTAATTGGTGCTAAAATGTTTATGGAGCACCTACGCAACCACCTATATATATATATATATATATATATATATATATATATATATTATAAGGCTTTAAGAGTCTCTTCAAGTTTTTGGAGTAAAACCGAACTTCAGATAACCCTGTTTTCTATATCCACCCAATATTTTTTTTAAAGATTTATCGAAGGAGATAGGGTTAAAAGAGCTACAAAAGTATAGAATGAAAGTTTTTCGGAATAATGGTATAATATTTTACTTATTCGTTATGTTACATATTCGTTATCCAGATGGGACTAAGTGTTATTATAATTTGAAAATGAGAACGTCTTCATCACAAAACTCAAGATTTTTAATCGTGAAATGATATTCAAATCTTGCAATAGTGTTGTTCTTTCTAATATTGAAATTAAGGTGCATTAAGTAAGGCTATTTTGATTTTATTACGGTAATTTAGGGAGTATTTCTACAGGTTCTAGGGTAAAACTAAAATCATAAGTAGAAACACTGGATCCGTGGTAGTTCATGAGTATTTAAGAGATGGCGCTGATTTATTCTACGCTTACTGTGAAAATTTTTTGTTGGCACGGCCACATCTTGTCATTTATATCGATGATGAAAGGGTAATAAAGTTGACAAGAGAGAGTTACTTCTCGAACATGCCGATTGCAACCTGGTCCTTTTCAATAAAACAAGTGACAAACTAAATTACAGTGGTACATCTGGTAATAGGTGTTTGAAGCTGGCTGCTGTGTCCATGGAACGCAGTAGCCAACTTCAAACAAGGCTACAGATGCGTTGTCACCGCTGAGGACACGCATGGAATTCCCATAATCTGTATTTACACTGGCTCTCTCCCTGCGGACCGGAACACAGCAGTGTAAGTAATTTGGCAGCAGAAGTAGGTGCAACAGATGGATTTCCAGGCAGAAACGAACTCTTGCCACCAGTAATCACTCCGGATTATATAGTGTAAATGTAAAGTTTGACCAAAAAACAAGGAGGACACCTAATACACTCAATCTGATGTGTTTGTATGGTGAGTGTAAGAATCTGAAGACCCTTTTTTGAAAATGAGGCATTCCATATTAGTTCACAGGAGTGATAACACATCTGTTTTTTATTCTTTATCGTATATTGATGAAGACGCCTATGGGCCACAGCATCCATTTACCATCAGGTGGACTGCGTGCTCGTTTGTCACCCTTATTCTATGAAAAAAATCTAACAGGGTCCAAACTGTGGTATACTTTTTGACACATTATGGTCAGCTGAGCCGTAGTAACTCAGGGGCTAATCACTCACTGTAAATTTCAGCAGTACGCACGCAACCCGGGTTCGATTCTCTCCGGCATCGATTAAATTTGTTAGTTGCAACAATAAGTACTGATTTACCACGTGCTCGGCGGTGAAGGAAAACATAGTTAAGAAACCAGGATGTCTGAGAAATAATAAAAAATAATTCGAAGACATGTGAAGTTCGTCAACACGCAATGGGGCAACGCGGCGGACATTCCCTTGCACTAAAACCCTCTCAGAAATAAGAGGCCTGTGCAGTGGGGCGTACCAGTATATGGCAGTTTTGATAGGATAAAGGTGATGAACAAGCACACAGTCCTCCTGATGATAAATGGTTGCTGTGGTCCATAGACATCCACATCAATCCCCGATTACGTATTAAAATAATGATGCGTTATCACCCGTGGGGATTAAGATGGAACCGGATGGACCGGGGACTCCGGTTCTCTACAAACACCATATAAAACACAGTAGTGTTAAGCTGCTATTTAACGCTGGTATTCAGTGAGAGCGTGGTCTATTCCCGGTCGAGCCGACCCATTTGTGTTACAACTATAATATAGCTGCATTTTAGCTCTACCACATAGGCTGTAACTTTAACTTTTAAGATCCATATACATAGATTTTGTTAGTAACTATAGTAAGCGCCGCGTTTCAGATCCTAGCATAGCTGTGGCTCTCTATACTCTACAAATCGTAGCATAGCTGTGTAAGCACTGTTATTTGGCAACAGACATGGGTACGAGGGTAATACTCGTTTCTATTGGACTTCTTGACTGAAGAGGAGTTCCATGAGCTCTTATCACAGAAGCGCTGTATCAGACTGCACGTTAGGATGAATGAGTGCTTGTTAGCTACGCGTACAGTTATGGCATTCTAACGCTAGTAAAATTTGTATAAATAGTACGGTTTAGGCTCAAATATATACGTATATATTCGTGGTAAAGCCACGCTGCAGCTATATATTATAGTCGTAAATAGCAGCGTAATACTGCTGTGTTTCGTATGGTGAGTGTGGAGACCTTTTTTACAGGAATCGAGGGATTCCATCTTAGTCCTCAGAGGTGCCAACGAAAAAATTTGCATATTGATCTTTAATTGAGAATAAATGTGGATGTCTATGGGCCACAGCGTCCACTTACTACCAGGTGGATTGTGTGCTCGTGTGTAAAAAAACGGTTTAGGCTCAAATTTTGACTTTGTAGATTTTTAGTTCAAGCCCGAAATTGTCTATAAATATGGGCCTATATCTATATGAATAGGTCTTTACCTATGAAATTACCGTTCTGCAGTACTAGTCATTTCAAATGAAAATAATTTTTGATTGACTGAGGATTCTAATTTCAAACTAATTTTATTTTAAAGACATATAATCCTTTTTTCAAAACAAGTCATTTGTTTATTGATTAGCGTTATGTTTTCATCGCACTTAATTCTTTTTCGTTATCATGGATTCGTTAAAAGTTCGAGCAATTATGGAATATAAGTACCGTCGTGTTAGCAAGGTGGCACAAGCGGCACGCGACATCGACGATGTTTACGGAGCGTATACTGCAAACGAACGCCACCACGTTAATGGTTTGACCGCTTCCATTCTGGATATTTCGACCTGAAAAACAAACCCCATGCTCGTCCGAAAACTTTGATCGACAATAGCGAATTAAAGGCGATGGTGAAAGTAGATGACTCAATCTACGGCTGAATTAGCAGCAACTTTCGAAGTTAGCATCAAAACAATTTTTGGTTCATTTGCGTAAAATTTGCAAGGAAAAAAGCTTGACAAACGGGTGCACCAGGAACTCAAAGATCGCTAGCGCGAAGTACGCGTAGAGACGTGCTTGGCACTGCTCAATAGGCACACAAACGAAGGAATTTTGAACCGCATTGTTGCTGCGCTCAGCAAGTTGGCTGAATCCTGGTTCAGACCTAAACAATGCCCCAAACGAAAACTTACCCCTAGAAAAATGATGGTCACATTTAGGTGGTCTAGAGCGTGTGATTCATCACAGCTTACCAAACGGAATGACTTTACTGCAGATGTACTGTGGAGAACTAATCACAATTATGGAAGAGTTCACACCGTCTTCAGCTTTGGTCAATCGCTCGTTCCCGCTGCTCCTGCGTGACTACGCGCGACCTTGTACTGCACAACATATGGTCGCCAAGTTACAAGAGCTGGGGTTGCAAGCTCTCTGTCATCCGCCGTACCAGACCTTGGGCGTACAGACTTCTACTTTTTCCGGATTTTGGATAACTTTTGGCGGGAAAAAAATCAATACCCGAGTCCGTACAAAATGCCTTTGAAAAATTTTTCCCGTCTAGCCAATTTCTTCAAGGGCATCAATAAACTGCCACTTAGCAAAGACGTATCGATTGCCTTTTTTAAAGAATAAGGGTCACAAACGAGCACACAGTCCACCTGATGGTAAGTGGATGCTGAGAACCATAGACATCTACATTTAACCTCGAATAAGAGTCAAAATGCAGATGCGTTGTCACCCTTGATAACTAAGATGGAATGAGACATTCACTTCAAACCATTATTCAAGCGACAAAACAGGAGCGACAATCCGTCTACGGCCAAGTCCCCGCCAAAACTCCGCGTGTTCATGAATGTGCACCACTCGCATTCAAAAGGACGAATGCCAAGTGTTCGTACATGACGTAGTTTTGAAAGAAATTGAAAATAATCTCAGCACTTCAGTACGTGCAATTGAAAGACACTGGACTACCGAAAATTATTGTTCATCGAATTTTAAAGCGATGTGAGTACCACCCGTACTATGTGCAACGAGTACAAGTACAAGGTTTGCTACCTCGAGACTACGCACCCATGGTCGATTTTTGCAGAACAATGTTGGCGAGAAATAGTGAAGATCTGCAGTTTCTTAAAACGACGACTAGCTTAATAATTTACAAAATCATTTGCGGAATTTATTAGAAGACTTAACACTCAACATCTACGGGATATGTGGTTTCGACGATATGGTTGCCCAGCGTATTATGCCCCTCCAGTACGGGATCATCCACACATCCCGGTAAAGGTGGATTGGACACCTTGGCACAATTTTATGGCCTCCTCGTTCTCCAGAACTAAATCCACTTAACTTCTTTTACTGGGGCTGCATAAAATAAAGTGTACTTAAAACCAATACAAAAACTAGCCCAACTATGCCACGCCGCAAAATAGCTAAAACAGCAGAGGAAATAAACTCAAGGAGATACGGACGATTAGCGAAAAGATCTTTTCTGAGGCGTAGCAAAGTCTGTATTCGTGCCGAAGGCAAACAATTTGTACATTTAATACAGAATGTGAATAATGAAACACTATGAAATATTGTAATAAAAATAAATGTATTACAATATTTCCTAGTGTTTCATTATTGTTAACTTTGGTCATAATACGACAATAGGGCATCATACTTTGATACTTTGTTGTTCGAGTTTTTTATGTTCTAAATTGTCGATATTTATATTTTTATGGAAAAATAAGTTGCAAGTGTTACACCATTTTGTAACCTTAATTAAATGGGCCATTTTTAAAACAACTTAATACACATAATTTTT